CGATTACTCACTTGAATCAAAAAGCATTTATGGGTACAAAGACTTGCTAGACGTTTGAAATCGTGCCGCCCATAAATCAATAATCTTTCCGTACGCAAACATAAAGAAGTTACAGCCATATATTTGTGTCATCCCTTTTTAAACCGCATATAGTATGGAAAGGCACTGAAACCTATTTGCTGTTCATTCACTGAAACTGGAACACGTTAATAAACATAACAATAAATTTCTTCACGTATATCACTGTAACTGCTCATAAACCTAGATACAGACTTAATAATTTACATTACGTCAGCGGCAAATGCTGCTGTCATTAAACTGAAGTATGAGAAGCTTCATACATTCGATGAATTATCATGTTTATCATTTCTTTCTTGCCACTAAATATCATTCTGCTGGGAGCAGTTAGCGACGAAAGCGAGCAGAAATTACAACAGAGTTTACAGCGCTGTATATGTTAATTTATTATCTACAGTGTCATTACGAATCCCAGCATTTACGAGGAACATGACACACTTTCACCTAAAAATAATTTATATTTGATGCCTCAAGTTCGAGATTACCTTTGGCAGTTCCGACGTCACATCTATTACGGTAGCAAAGCAATGGACATCTATCATATCACGTAAAAGTTATATTGCAGCCGCAAATAAACTTATCCCACCAAACAGCTCATCTCATAAGAGAGTCCAACAGCCATCAAGGCGTAAGGGTCATTTTCATTACACTCATCTATTACGTCAGTGAGGTATAAAGTAACCACGTCAGAAAAAATGCTTTCCCACATCTGTGCTTAGAAGAAGCAGTACCGAGCAGAAAAAGATAGACGATTCATATGATATGAAAATTCAGTACTGCAGTACCAGGCTTGGATAAGTGAATCTGGATGCCGTGTAACTAGGTAGCACAGACAGCAGTTCTTTTATTTCGAAATACGTATTCTACGACCATACCTAGCCACCATTCTGCCTAGCTCCTCTGGATGTATTTGACGATAACCATACGTCATTACGTTCTTTTTTGACTTTATCCAGTGTCTGTCTCTTTTTAAGCAGCGATCAGGTCTATTCTACTTGTCTCGGAATTTTTTCACATCTTACAGATGCCCCAAAAAGATTAACCTGAAGATGGAGACGCATTGAAGGTCATCGACACATTGAGATAACACAAGGTTCAATAGACGTTTTGTAAACGACCGTAAAAAAGTATAAATTTTATTCTACTCATATGTGATGGACCGACCCCCTGAAAAGGAGCTTTGCCAGTAAAAAGTTTGAGAAACACTCCTCTGAATTTACTGAAGCTATATTCCCATACTTACCTATCCAGTTATTTTTTTCAGGTGTAATAACATTCCAGTACTTCAAAATTAACCTTAGCCCTTGGGTTGAAAGTCGTTATTAACGTGTCTGTCTTTTGTCACAATCCGTCATTCTTCTGCGACAATAGGGCTTAACGTATTTTATCAATTAAAATGGGATACTATGTATGACTCACGTCCGAAAAAATATAAATATTCACGTCTTATATAAATGTATCCAAGTAGTACTGGTGAGGTTAAATCCCTCAGAACCTGACGTCCCTGAAGAACCTAGTCAGTCAAAACCTGGTCGCCCACTAGCATTGAATATTATTATCATACCTTATTAATGATTACTACAACTTTACTATTGTTTTGTGGCTTACTCCCAAGGTTCTGACTTTCACACCATTCATATCTGTTCCACAAGCAAGCTGTCTGGCTGGAGACCTACATAACAATTCTACTGCCAAGCGACTTCACTTTATTAAGACTGGTCTACCCGCAAGGCTGGATGTTCACATTGTAAAAATGAGGTTAACTTTCTGATGCAATGGACGCCTGTTTGAACATATTGTGTGAGGAAAATAAGACTTAGCAGGCTTACTATTTCTACAGCTCTGTTTGTTGTGAATATACATATCAACTGCCTATTTTAAATATAGCAACCATTAATCTTCTCCAAGGTTGTTACCAGGTGTGACGTAAGACACGGTGTGTCTGTCTCCTTGTCAATATTACGTACCCTCTGGTAACTACTGTACTGTTTTCATTATTTTGATCCACCTTAATTTTGTTCAACAAGGCATATTATACTGTATGCTAAATCTTCGTTGCCGACTTACTTTCTTAAATTAAACTTCTACCTTATTACATTGGCCCATACGTTAAAATGAAATACATATAATTATTCTAGGTTGCTGTCACTCCTATAACAATATTGGAATATACTGACAAGTGACTAGAAAGATCTTTAGGCTATGGACGATTAAACTTGGGTACTAAGTGCCTGAGCATCAAAGTCTTGAAGACCAACATTGGCATTTTCACCGCCTTAGGCTATAACAAATTCGAGTCTTGTATTAATAGGATTTTAAATTTCCTGTTGACTTAAACGAGCCATTCTCTAGTATTATTTGGAAAATGGGTGCAACGAGTAAAATAATAATTATTCAACCTGCTTTCCATATGAGAATCATGTCTCGACTTAGTTCATCTCGATCCAAATCAAATTATCCTTACTCCAGATCCTAGCTGTAGTAATGACTCCCGATCAAACACGTAGGAGTAATCCTGTGTAAATGAGTGCACTATTCTATCAGAGCAAGTTCTAGTTCTAGGTCTAGACAGAAGACATGTTCAGTGCTTCTGCACTTCTGCAGGGCGAGGACGGCTTCACCGGCCAACGTGTATTAGATGAAAGCATTTGAAAGAAATTTGGCACTGTAGTTATCTTCAGAACGTCTTGCTTGTTATCTCTTGAACCGAGTTTTGCGAATAACAATAATTTGAGTATGAAGAGAACCCCCCCCCCCTCCCCGGCCCCACGACAAGGGGATATAGGATCTCGCATACTATTTGTATACGTTAAGTACTTTTACTGAGTAAGTTCCTGACTTTGTGCAGATCCATGCTTAGTTTTAAATTTTTAATCTTGTAATAATTTGCTTTGTCATTTATAAGTAGAGACACATTATATGGACTTCGGCTCTAAAACAGAAATATTTGGTATGTTTTAGACCTTTAAAGCATAATGGTACTTATATGTACCACATTCAGTAACACTTTTTTCCCTCCTATCCATGCCTAGGTCTTCCGAGTGGCGTTTTCCGTCAGGTTTCCCAGCCAAAATGATGTACGCATTTCTCATCTACTCAGTGCATGCTACTTGCCCCATATGTTTCATCATCCTTGATTTTATCGTCTTGCCCCAACTATTTGCATCATACTGTCACTAGTTACAAGTGATTCCTGTACATTTTGATTAAAACGAAGTAACGAGGAACGTGTTGCTGTAATGATAGAAGCTGTGGAGACCGAGAAACATTCTATCCCTCCTCCTTTCATCTATTTATTATAGAATAAATATTACGTGTACTTCATAGGGATTACGCAGCAGATACATGTCACCTTGACTCAAGGTCTGATAAGTTCGAATGTTTCAAACTATGTTAGTTTTCCTTCCGTTGCTACAAGCAGATCGCTGAATTATATTAAATATCGCAGAGGGGTCTAGTAATGATTAGTCACAAAAAATACGTATGTGCAAGTGTATAAACTTCGTGATTATAAAACTTGTTTCAACACTACACATCGTGAATGTTCAATGCCTTCAAAGTTTTTATGTTGTGAAGTCCCGCACAAACAATTGAAGTATTTGTGTTGGTCTTCTTTCAAGCGCTTGGTATGGGAATACAACACAACCGCAATGTATGCTGTGCATTAACCGACTAAGAACCAGTTTCTGGTTTCATTCTGTACAGTATTTGTAAAAAAACTTATAATGGATTACAGTAACACACAGAAACGAAGGTGTGCGATAAGACAGGGTGAAAAGAAGAAAGTGACAAGGGGGAAACGGGTAATAATAAAATTGCGACTGGCTTTTCCAAATAAGAATGTATAGCGGTTGTTGGGTGGGACTGTCTAACAGAACTTGGAAGATACTGAACATTCACTGTCTACATTCCCGTGTTAAACTTGGGTAAGAACTCTGGGGTATACGAAGATAATTGTTAGCCACGACGAAACTCATCCTAAACTTGTACACAGAAAATATCCAGGCTTGGCTTTTAATTTTGTCTCATGAAAATGGCTGTCTTCAGACTCACCACCGTCAAAACCTCAAATCCTACAATTTCATCTCATCTTTTCTGAACAGTCCACGCATACGTTTATACACAGCTATATTGAGTAGGAACAAAAAAATAAACTGTGAAAAATACATTGCACAAACTCGTATCGGTTGAATGCTGTTTGACTGCATTCTTAAAACGCC